AAGATTTCCCTTTCATTTTTTGGATGTTTGTATACTTATACAATAGGGGACAATACATAAATTTGTATACACATACATATATATGCTGCAGTGCAGAAAGTAATCTTTTCTTAGGTCATAGAAACTTTACAGTTCATGTCTTTGTCAATACTATTGTAAATCCATGGAAGTCAAATTCTTGTCATAAGTAATGAAACGATTTCCACTAAGTTTCTGATGTTATAGGAACCAAATTTATGGCATAAAGACTTAAACAACATATTTACCACATGTAGAATGAGGTTCTGCAGTACCAGTCATATAGTTAATTAAACTGAAATAACTTTAAATATGTTGTTCCACTGCATTGGCTGGTAATTTAATTTGCAGCATAAATAGCAACATTAGTAGAAAACTTCTGATTCATTTCTGATCTCTAAGAGTACATAATACTTTTTGAGAATAACTACTGTTTTGACAAATCCTTCAAAATAAATTTAATGAATAAAAAATAATCTATTTCCCAAAATGGCTTTGATCTCAAATTCTAAAACTGACAGTATGACTTTGCTTACTGAATAATTATAGTACCGAACATTTGAGAGGAAACAAATGTCCCAAATACCCAGGTGATTTCTTTCCTATTTCTTTTCTGTTTTAATCTTAAAATCAAACTAACTAATTTTACCACAGGGAGGAATTAAAGCAGATATGATTGCTATAACTGCTAAATTTTTTGTCCTTAGGAGTTAAAGGTAATTAAGCACAATGGCTCTCCTTTTCCTTAATGTGTCATTTACATGTTGATTTCCTGTTGGGAACTATATATTCAAAAATTATTTTTAGTTACTAATGAAAATTAAATATATACTGGATCTTATCTGGATTTTAAATGTCAAGATAAAATGATCAGGATCAGCTTCAGCCTACATAAAAGTAAATTGAAACATAAAACATTTTCTTCCTGAAATAGTGACAGGACATCATTTTAAATAAAAAAATAAAACTAAGATATAAAAAGTATTGAAGGATTGTGTTGTATTCTCAGACAATAAAAGATATCATCATGATGTGCCTGAAAATACTCAAAGCAATTAAAGATCATTATAGTGTTGCAGAATATATCTACAAATATATTGTTAACTCTTTCTAGATTTCATTGTCATCTACTTGTCTGTTCAAGAAATGTATAGTAACATGATTTGGGTTCATGAAACAAATCCCCGAGTCCAAATTCTACAAAGATAATTTATTCAATTCTAGTGATTCGGAATTCTAAGACAATACCGAGGTAGGATCACTGTCAGCAGACATTCTCAGGATTGCCCCCGTTAATTGACATTTGCTTCCAAGCCCTGCCACTAATTTGTATGCAACCGTTTACACGGGTTGATGGGCAGAAAATATGTGTATGTCTTTAATGGAACAGTACGAAAGTCTATAAAAGAATAATTCACAAACTCAGATACAGGAGGGAGGAAAGGGAGGAAAGTTATTTTTTACTTCCCTTGAGCAAACATGTAATTTCCATGATTTCTTTTTAATGACTGCGGTCTGCGGCCAGTAGGCACTGATTTATGAAAAGCTGTAAAAGATCAGGTGGAACTCTGTAGGACATCGTTTACAGCTGCGCCGATTGAAACCTATCTAATTTGTCTAGTAAAAGTGTGAGCTCACGGTGCACATCACCCGGCCTATAAATTTCCTCTTCAGACCCAGCGTCTGGGGCTGGGTTCTGAAAAAACGCGGACGCCTGCAGCTGCTCAGAAAGCGTGGATTCCCTTGGTGCGCATGAAGAGACATCACAGGCTCTTCACAGTGAGAGACAAATTCCTATCCATTGATAAACTCTCCAGATGTCCTCTCAGAGGAGGAAAGGAACCAATTTTTATTTGAAATCCCTAGAGAAGTCCTGGAAGTGGAAAAATGATACTTTGCAGGGCTGGTTATTCTGAGGTCACTGGCATTAAAATTAGGTCATTTTTTGTCTTGGTTGCACTTTGATCCAAGTCATAAAGAGAAAAACTCGGTTGGGGTCACTCTAATCCCTAATCCTCACGTCCTGTTCCATTTCAATTTGTTTATACTAATTTTCCCCAAGCTTTTGTTGAGTCTGGCCAAAGTGTTGAGTTAAAGAACACAAACCATTTTGAACTGAGAAGAAAACATTCTGCATTTTGCTATTAGACACACTTCATAAATATTCTGAATAAATATCCTGGGGTTTGATTCTTCAGATCCACAAACCCATAAATAAGAAAGTATTGCTATTCATGAGACTGAGTCCACGGTCTGGCTCTGTGCTACTGTATACATAGAAATTGTGAGGGTGCGTGTGGGCGTGGGTGTTTGCGTGCAGGGTAGGTTAATATGTCACCTAGACCTCACTTCATTTTGCTTATCGACGTTTCTCATAACTGACTTAACACTATTTCTATCAATTTGTACACTGTTTCTATGATGTCTCGGATGACTCCTGTTTCATATGTCTGACGCTTGATACTGGCAGAGGTTATTTCACTCAGGACAGCTGTACTAAAGTAACCCAAGAACACTGTGTAACACTTGATGCCTGGGTTGGATATCTGTATCTGGTAATTCCCTAATGTTTTAGGAAAATGACAAAAAACAAGGAAACTGTGATTGTGAAAAATAAAATTTTAATTGTTTTACAGATATGTGACTGAAGAATCTTAGAAAACTACTTGAATAACCATTTTAAAAGAGAAATAATGATTGAAACATTTTACAGTTTTCTAGATATCGTTAAATGAAAAAAATTGACTTCATATAATAATGCCTATTTTTATTTTTACATGACTTCTTAGAATTAAACTATAGTATACAAATATAAATTACTCATTCCATAATTAAAGATTTTAACTTATACCCAGTGTAGAAGAATTGCAGTTGTCAGTTTTAGTCCAAAAAAAGCCAGTTAAAAAATTCTCACCTTCAACTCTCCTCCACTTTACAAACGATCCCGGCAGTGAGGGACCTGGGCAGCGTTCTGTGTTTTCAACACAATACGGAAACACCAGCAGAACTTAGACATACTTTTGCCACTTTTTAAAAAATCAGAAGTAATCAAATAATTATAATGCAGCTCCACAAACATCTAGAAGTATAGTTAATCTAAAAGCTTCTCCTCTCCTTTGAGGATAGCAGGCAGAACTAGGCCAGGATCTGTAATTGCCTTAGCTTAAGAATCTTAACTTCAGAGGTAGCGTGTCTCCTGTGTATGAGGGAGTAATTTGGAAAAATACCACCACCATAGCAGAAGCCTCCCAATTAAAAATCCTTTTGAAGTATAGGAGAGACATTTATGGATTTGCTTCAGAGAGAGAATTTTTTATTTAACACAGGAACTTCAGCACGGATCCTAGATGAGGATCAATGGTTGCTACTTTAGACAGAACACTGCACAAGTTTATTTCAGTTGAATGCCTCATTTTGTAATTATTCTATGCTATTTATAAATATATTTTTGGAATTCACTAACTAGGCACTAAATTCATTTCGAAAATAAAGATAAACGCAGTCATACAAGTCCTTCATTTGTTTTGATGTTTTCTGATATCAAATAATTAAATTTAAATGTTTCTAAATGATGAATGTAGTACTGTAAATGATAGTATAATTTAGATAAATCATATTAGGGATATAAAAATAATAGTCTAGTTTTTATTTTATTTTTAAAAAAGAAGAAAACAACAAGAAGTAGAATTCAAATCAGGCTAATGAGTGAGTAACAGTAAGTAATACATTTCATTTTGTTATCTTCACAGTAGTTACTCAGAGTACAAGTTACAGGCAGGAAATAATGTCTAGGCAACATTAGCACAAATCTTTCTTTTCAATGAGCTAAGAGAAATTAGTGGTATAACTATCTTAACTATCTTGTGCATATATATTTTTCCCCTTTTCTTTTCCTTCCTTTCCTCTTTTCCGCATCAGTTTCTCTTTCCTTTTGAACAGTTTTTTCTCACTTTACAATATTAATACCCTAGTTTCAAAGTTGAAAATAAAAAGGAAAAAGGAAATGAGAGGACAGTAGATGGTTCATCTGATGACTAGTTCCAGTCTTATGAGTCAAAGGGAAATTACAGAGGTCACTGAAAGCTGGAAAACAATTCAACACCCTTCAGGCAGTTCACTAACAGGCTTTTTCTTTTGCCTCTTCAGGAATGAAAACATAGTCTTCTCCATTTCTTTTATGTCATTCTGCTTCTTTTGTGCAAAAGATTCTGCAGGTGTTCATAGATCTGTGCACAGACTTGCAATTAAATAAAATCATCTTATAAGTCCCTCTATTTAATGCTAACAGTATTATGCAATGCAAATTAAAATAACACTCTACATGTCTTTGAATATATATTTATATATGTATATATATAGCATATATACTTGGTCTTGTTAAATATGTAGGAATGTCATGCTTATCTATTGTTATTAAGTTGCCTTTGCAATTTTTACTTTTAAATGACATTTACAGCATTATTTAAAGATGTGCTGACTTTATGTCCATCTGCAAGAGCAGATGGCCAAACTATTCTTTAGACAGTGACATTTACAGTGTCTACAGACAAACATCCAGTGGACAAGGTTTAGTATTGAAACTGAATCCATCACCAAGTCAGATAGCAAATTACATAGTTGTCATGTCTGCTATAATTGTATCCTAAATTCCGACCACTTTTACTAATGATGGAACACATGAAATTATACAATGTATGGGTATGTTTCTGCTGTTGACTGGCAAAATTTTAATGACTTTGAAAGCAGTCATGAGTACAGAAGGGGAAAACTTAGACAAGAGGATTATATAGTCTTCTTGCAAGCTGCCAGATTGAACAGATGTAGTCTTCACGGCAGATCAATTTCACAAATAAACAGGAATACCCCACGAAGCCTGGAAGTTCCTGCTGATGTCGGTGTCACATTTTGACATACAGCAACTCTGCTGACTCCGGATCTCTCTGTCTCTCCCTCTCTCTTTTTGGTGTTTTCTTTTCTTGCAGGCCATCAAACCTTCTCCTGGACCAAAGCAATGTTGACATCACTACCTTCCGCACAACAGGTGACTGGCTTAACGGAGTCCGGACAGGTCACTGCAAGGAGATCTTCACAGGCGTGGAGTACAGTTCTTGCGATACCATAGCCAAGATTTCCACAGAGTAAGAAAATATCTATTACGAAGAATGAACAATTGTGAACTTTCTACTGATCATATCTGTCCTGGATTAATGTGTTTTAAATATTACTTGTACTCCTGAAGTACACAGTGTCTCTTGTAGTCATGGATCTGTACCTTGAGTATTTTTGTAAGCACCTTTAGATTGATGTGTGTTGGAGTATCTTTCGGTCATGTAAAAGGCCCCAGTTTAGGTGTCTGCACTGATCCTGTGATATTTAGGTAGACCATTACACACACCAACAAAATCAAGCCACTAAATTGAAACATTAGCAGATAGAGTTTCATGGCCACTGCACATTCCCATGTGTCTTATTTTATGTTACTTTTACAAAAGAATACTTTTGTGCACACTGAATATTGAAAACTGAATAGGAAATGTGATATATAGAGAAGCATGATAAATCCAAAAGTAATTTTTATAACTACTAACTCAATATCTCACATTATAATCTACTATCAAGTGTCTGCTCTGAAGAATATTGTGCGAAATAGATTTAAGGCAATTTCTTTCTGTTTTCCTTAAAATACTGATAGTTGCAAAATATAGAATATGTACCAGAACATTAGTATTAAGTTTTGGTTTCATATTACATCACATATCAATCATTCACATCCATTAAAAGCCAGTACAAATCAAGTATGATGTGCTGAATTTTTTAGGGGACATTTGCTGACAGGAATCTTTCAATGGGAGAAACTCCTGGACATAAGGAAATGAGTTTTATATCCAATTTCATGAGTACAGGCATAAATATGGGTATGAACTCATAAGGTATAATTAGAAACAGGAAGAAGAATTACAGGTTATTTTCTTCACCTATGTATGAATGGAAGCCAGTTTTGCTTCTGGCCTTCACTCCTAATATGACTGCATATTGTTTCTTTTTTTTCTCTGCACAGTGACTTTTTCTGTCTGCCTACCTAACTAATAAAAGTGGCCTCCCAACCTTAAGTTATACTGCCGCTTAACTAATGAGGGGCCAAGTCTCTAAATTCCAAGTCCCAAGAGATAAATTAGGACTCAACTGTTCACGGATTGAAATGGCTTGTCCTACATGCACAGCTTGTTGAAGTGCCTCATTTCCGTTGTAGATGGCACCTCCACAGCCATATGTTAGCCACTTCTGTTGTTTTTCTTCAAGCAAAGTACGGTGAGAGAGGATTCACTTGGATCTGGGATCATTTCCTGAGGCAAACATGCAGGACTGTTTCAAAGAAAGATTTATGTGGGGCAGATTCACCAAAAATGGTGGGGAGCACAGCAGCTTGGATGGTGGACTGGAAACCTGGTCCACCTCCGGTACAGAACCTTCTCTCTGCCATCCTTTACTCCAATAACTAAGTCCTTTTGTCTTCTTAAATTCCTTTACGCCCTATTCTTTCCAACTAACATTTGAATATTTGTTTTATTAATATACAAACAATTTTATTGTTACCTGCCAATCACTTAAGCAAAGTTATTGTAGGGAACAGATTAGAGGTCAAAAAAGAAGGGTGTGGTGTAATTAATTATGGATACAACTGCCCAACATGCAAATAAGTGCATAAATTATGCTGAAACATTATAATCAGAAACATAAGACCACAAGAAGTCATAAAAAGGGTTTATTACTACTGAAGAAAACTTTCTTAGAAAATAAACTCACATTAGTCTATTCAACATGAATTGCCTTTTTGTTTAAAATGGAAGGCAATATTTATTGAATAGACTTCTAACTCAATCAACAATATAATTTGAGTATTTTGGTAATTATTGGGATTAGACACAGTCAAGGGGTATATTCCATCATGTGGATGGAATTCAAACATTTTTGTATGTTCTTGTTTCAGTAATATAAACAGTTAAGATTATGATATACAAGACACTTACTTTAGAGCACAGAAGTATAGCAACAAATAAACACAGGGTTGGACATTTCCACACCATGGCCAGATTTTCAAAGGCAAAGTTATGCACATATCAACATTCAGAGCTTTTAGATAATGAAACACTACATTGAAATGGTTGAGGCAAGAGTACTGTTAATAAGATTAACTGCTAGTTCATAATTTAAATATATTTGGCCATTATAAGCTGTGAACATGGCAAGAAAACTATTTGCTAAAAAAGCTGAAAAGACAGCATTTGTCCTAGTTCCAAATTGGTAATATATTTGGGTCAACAATGTAACATTGGTCATTATATTGTCTCACTCCCACTATGTTCTTTTTGGCTGGTTACACTACTTCTCTTCTTTATTACTTGCGTTTGTTTCAACACTGGTTAATGGACATTGGAGGTGAAGGCTGCCTCTTCCTGGGAGACTTGCCCCTGTCGAAGTTGTCCTTCCCACTGAGTCACATGGTCTGCAGTGTCTCTGCACTTCACTCCCACAGTGGTTTTCATTCTCCCTTTTCTTTTAAATTTAGGAACAATGTAAGATTAGTATCCATTTCCCTAAAATTCCTTAAAGGGAAGTATTTTTTCCTTTAGCCACCGTAGTGTCATGCCTTTATTTTAAGACTGAGGCCTTATAAACTGATCTTTAGCACACTAACAACTTGTGTAAATCTAATTGGGCAACATTCTAATTTTCAATGCTATGAGACTTTTAGCTAGGTATTTTATCTTTCCTTCTGCTGTCTTGGACTTCTTAGTTGAACTTGATTGCTACAACTTTGAATTGCTTTGTGTCCTCCATAACCAATTCAGAAATTATTAACTTGACCAAGTAACTCTAGAGATTCTCCTTTAGTACAGAGATACTTAAGGTAGTTATTGAATTCATTTGACCTTTTTTCTATTCTGATTATGAAATCAATGCCAAAGATCAATAGAATTTTATTCTCAAGTAGATTTGAATGATTTCAGTTAAATTAGGGATTTTCTTAAAATATGAGCTACAAAAGTTACCTAATTTTCAAATAAAGCCCAAAATTTGTGCAGGTTTATTCAATAAACATGATTTTTAAACATTATTTCATTACCTAGTATGGATTTAGGAAATTTGAATAAGAAAAGATGAAAGAAAAATAAACAGGAGAGTGACTATGATTGTGAAATCTACAGAGAATTGTGATTAATGAACGGTGGATACATTGCTGGCTACATGCTGTTACCCTGCACCTTTGGAGACCAGTTCAATGATATCACCTCCCCTTTTTCAGTTCCAGATAATACATTGACCTCTGGACTCAATCCGGAGCTCTTCTGTAGTTCTGAACTTCCTTACCCCTCTTCTGCATAGGATAATCAAAAAGAAATGAATATACACACACAGGTGCACACACACACACACACAAACCCACACACATGCAGGCACTCACGGGACATCTTATTGAAACCATAGTATCTGGGTGTTCAGAATGATTTTGGACTTGGCAAGATGGAGCACAGAAGATATATTGACAGGTAGAAAGAGAATTAAGGCCATACAAACATAACTAAAATGTAATGAAAGGAACTAATTTATTTATCTTTTCCAGAATCCAGTATAATCCTTTGCATTGAATGTAAATATCATTTTACATCTGTTGGGTTATACTGACTCTGGACAGAGAGTTTGAGCCAGGTTCATATAGAAGATTTCTTGAGGAGTACATTCAAGACATACATCTGTAGGAAATGATGAGGTATGTCTCAAATTGGACTGAACTTTAACCACCTGGTTTTTTTTTTTGTTTGTTTTTTGTTTTTTTTGCCAGCCACTTGAGGGAAAATGCTTCAGTTTGGGAGAGATAAAGGCCAAGCATTACAGCATATATTGCTAAGTTAGTATGCTTAAATTTGTCAGAGATCTCAGAAAATTCGTATACCACATAGAAATAATTTCTGTTTTCCATGACTGTCATTTCATTTTCTAACAATGTAAGGAAGAGGAGAATAAAGAGACAGAAAAATCTCAGTCATGGAAGATATGTTATAGAATTAGAAGAAAGATACCAGGAGAACACAAAGAGTGAGGATCTGAGACTCTTGATTTATCTACCTGTATTCATGTGCATCCACCTTTCTCTGGTTCTCTACTCATGACTTGTTCTGTCTTTGGAATCAGTGGGAACATAGTTCCACTCACTGTAAAGACAGATTCACGGTACATAAACATCAAAATCCCATAGCAGACCTTTCAAAAGCAGGGAGTGACAGGACTACCACATGTTACTGTAAATGTGCTTTCATTGTGCAGTTCCCCTAGGAGGGGCAAGCGTGGTGTAGACACACCTCCTCGCCTACATGCCCTGTGCAGAGCAGGCAGCTGTCCAGCGTATTCAGACAGGGTCTCAGGCAAGAGAAAACCTGTACTGAGAGAACTCCATGGCCGTCTGAATGGCAGCAAGGAAGGAACCTGAAGGTCACAGGGAGCTTCTTTCCCGGGCAGTTGGCTGGACTGCAGCACAATTTCAGTCAATTTCATGTAGTTGATGCTTAAATAATACATAGAATATTTCTTAAATAATTACATACTGCCAGCTTGTATATATTGATTGCTTTCAAACCTACTTTTGAAGAGATCAACTAGCATATTTCTATATAATTGAGCTCCCAATTTTTCCTTCCATTGTATTCAGTACAAAGGAATTATCTCTGTGTGTATATGGGGTGTGTGTGTATGTATGTGGTGATGTGTGTGTGTTCACACACGTGGTTTGTCTCCTTGACATTGTTGATTTGCCTGCATTTGCTTGACAAATAGTATCTCACTTTCAAGTTAATTTAAACAGAAAAGCATGTTTTGCATTTTTCCTTCATTACTAAATATGAGTTAAGCCTCTACTAAGTGTTGCTCAGAATGCTATTAACCGGCACAGTAAAAAATAAAGCAGATTTTATACTCACATGAATTTCACTTTTTTGAATGACAAGAGAGACAAAAATGAAAATAAATCATAAAGTAAGGTGATATGGTGGACGGTGATCAAGTTTTCAGAGAAAATCAAATAAGATAAGAGTATAGGAAGTTAAGATCCAAGTGCAGAGAGACTTGGCAATATTTCTTATAAGAGTTAGGAAAGTTTTCATTAGAGGGAGCTGTTTAAGTCAAGAACTTAAAAGGGTAATTATATGAATGAATATATAATTCATAATATGTACATGTTTAGTTTAGAAATTTTTCTTATTGAAATTTCTTATGTTCATTCTACCTTATGTTCTTAAAATTTTATTTAATGCCTAATTACTGAGCTTAAAATATTTTAAATATAATAAATAGAGATATATCCTTGTTTCCACTTTGAAAGAATTTTATATTTCAATGAGATTATTTCATCTAGTGAAGGTTGTACAAACTCAAATGCTAAAACAAAAACTTTATTTTGCATCCCAGTGTTGTGGGATATCTGTTCTAGAAGAACTCAGTGGATAATTCTTTGTGCTCTGTTGGAGCTGACTGACACATTCACCTGACAAACAGACTGATCACTTCTGGAGAGATGGAGATGCTTTTATTCAAATGTCTGCCCCTGTACAATGGTGCTTCAGTTCATGAACCCTTTTGGTTATAACCAATTTGATTTGCAGACAGAAGCGTTGGGTAAAATTTTGTTTTTGTTTACAAAATCTGTATCAGATGACAAAGAGGACTATGGCCATCTTTCCTACATAAACAACAAAGTGATCATCTTTTCCAAAATTGTTTAGTTCATAACGAGGCACAACTATACCCAAGATTACACTATTATTAGTCTCAAAAGCATGGATAAAATGCTTATACACAACCTCCCCTATGCCATAACTTCAGGGTGATCAGACCTACATGGCAGCTCCTTTAGCCTACAGAGGACGTCTCAAGAGATAAGGGGTGGTAATCTTCAGATTCTTAAGACTTCATACCATTTTGACTTCTATCTCGGGTATTCAGAGCAGTGCCCAAGCTGGTCTTGATTCAGGAAAAATGTATAAATCCTCACAAAGATTATGTGACCATCTGTATTAATTGGGTTAGCAATTACAGAATGAAATGGATTGTCATTGCAAATTAATACAATTTTTTAGCTTAATTACATGATAGAAACTCATTCTCTCAAAATTCTACATTCAGAAGTTTAAAATCAAGATGTTGGCCATGAACACATTTGATCCAGTCTCTAGGGACAATCATTTCTTGCCTCATCAGCTTGAAGTGAAGTTTGGTGTTTTCAGTTTCTTGTACTATAACTGCAATATCTGCTTCCACTTTGTTATACTTGTTTGTCCCATGTACTCATGTACCATTTCTTCTCTCTTACTAGGAAACTCTCACTAGAATTAGGATGCACCATACTCCAGGACAGTATCATATCAGTCCTTGTCTTCAGACATTTGCAAATGCTGTTTCCAAATAAGATCATATTGTTAACTTCTGAGTGCACAGAAATTTGGAGGGTACACTTTAGCCTTCCAGAAGATATAGGCAGAATAGTCAAAATATAATTCATGGATGACACAAAAATCCGAAAATGAAGTCCAAAGCATTGAATACAAAACTGTGTTAAGTTTTGTTATTTAAAGACATGGTTCTGATTGGATATTTTATCTTTTATTTTTCAGCGACATGAAAAAGATTGGTGTCACTGTGGTTGGGCCACAGAAGATCATCAGTAGCATTCAGGCTCTGGAAACACAATCCAAGAATGGTCCAGTTCCAGTGTAAAGTCCTCCTGAAGAAAGTGGTTACTGGGAAAGCTTCGGCCTCCCTCTGCAAGCAGCTGATGATGGCGGAGATATAAGTGGAAGTTCCCAGTTCAATAAGACACTCAGACACGAGCGCAAATGCCTTAACATGGAATTGAAAAACCCTTTATTTTCCCCTCTTATTTAGTGGATGGGCGGGTGGGTAAATTTTGTTTTGTAACTGCTTTTTTAATGTTAGTTGATGGATTAAATTAAAATTTTTCAGCTCAAAATTGTGAAGAACTAGTATAGAGCCATTTATCATAACCTGACTACCATAAACGCAAAACAGTGAAATGACAGAATGGACATGATGGCTTTGTTTACAAAGAGCCACAGAAGAAAAGACTTGTGATATTTTTATACACAGAAGGAAACCTGTAATAAGTATTTTGTTTCTTTCAAAGCAAGCAAAATAGAGGAATTTATACCTCAAACTTTCTGGCCATATTTACTACCTTATCATTGTATTATTCTCTTTTATCTGTTTAAAGCATATAGAGATGAAGTTTGTAGTTGTTTTAAGTACTACACTCTCTTAATTGTTAGGTTGCTTAAGTGTATCATGTAAAAATGTGTCTTAATTTTTGAAAAAAGTACGTATTTATTTTCTTTTGAATCATTTTTATTGTTTGATATTTATACCTTGATGATTTAATTTGGATTTGTCACAGCCAAGTGTCAAATGCTCTCTCAAAATGTCAGCAGTAGGAAATATGTCTTGCTAGACATGAAGAATAAGTTTCCAGATTTTTTGAACCATCCACTTCTATGTGTTTAAAAATACTGAAATACTTTGTTTGTTCATATAGGAGCCAAATCTCATAGTGTGAATTACCCCATTTCTTTTGTCTCTCCATTTACTATAACTATGTTCTTAATTTAGTGTAATATATTGGCTTGGATGTAATGGATTTTTAACCAGATGACAGACCTTTCTGTTTTGGTGTCCAGAGGCCAGGAACTCTCTTCATTCATGAAGTACCCATGCCAGAATTTATGAGAATAGCCACACTGGAAATATTTGACATGCTATTTAGATTGTTGCATTAATTGTCAGCACAGCAAATGCATGAGTCAAAATATCACTTACTCCCTGGATTTACAAAGTTGTTTAATATTGCTTGAAAAACTTACTCAAGTATTTATAGGCAATGATGACTAGTTAAACTACTCCTCTGCATTACCGGAGTTAGGACAATTAAATATTGTGACAATTATCAGGTATAATGATCTTTAATAGTCTTCCACTTCAGTGTACCTATTGTAACTTTGCTGTATAAGTCAGAAAGCTTTAACTTTGTATTGATTGAACATATTTTTGAAATAGTTGACTGTCTAGCAAACTTGTTAAAATCTGTAAGCAGTGCAGAATTGCGTCACCACACGAATTTAGACTTGCTGTTACATAAAAGCCAACTATGAGCACGTATATTGACATTTGAAAGGATGTGTCTAGTAGAGACCTAGCCACTAATATATTTTGAAGCAAAATTTTAGACCTATCTATAATCTTTCTAATGCTGATATGATCATGTCCTGATATGAGAAATGTATACATCAGGGGCTGGGGATTTAGCTCAGGGGCAAAAGCGCCTGCCTGGCAAGCGCAAGGTCGTGAGTTCGGTTCCCGGTACCGGAGAAAAACCAAAAAAAAAAGAGAAATGTATACATCAGAAGAACAGAATGGGTGAAACAATGCTGCAGCACTTATCTTTGTATGCAAAATGGGACAACAAAGAAACACAGCCTCCGATCACAGATCAAAATTCACAAGGGCCAATCTCTTATAGGTTTAATATAACGAATATTAGATTATGTTTTTTGTAGATAACAGCCCATTTCCCAAATTTTGGCAATGTTTCTTATAGTCAGCTCATGCTACTAGAATTTTATATTGGATATATAAGATCATGAACTTTTTAAAAGTTAAGTTAATCAAAAATTTCATTTAAGCCTGCTAGAAGCAGCTAAATCTAACTCATCTAATCAAGTATTTTACGTTTGGGAATATTTGAGTAAGAGTTGAATCTGGTTTCAGTTTCATATTATCCAATACTAGCATTTAATTTCTGGGATACTTCTCTAGGTCTTCACACAAAAAATCTGTGTGTTTCATAAATTAGTAGAATTTGAGGGTCACTGAATATAGGGCACTTATTTTGGCTGTAGGTTTTGTTTGAAAGTAGAGGTTGTATACACAGTATATAGCTCTTCATTTTTTCAGTATTTTTCTACCTGATCTCTTAAAAATTTACATAATTCTTATCCTGTACATATGTAAACATAACAGTGTATGATTCCTAACTGTTGAGTAGGGGTACTAGAATGCTTGTGGCCATCACTTTGTACGTGAACTGCAGTGACTTTCAGTAATCATGAAACAACAGCTCTTTCACAGTGTCATGTACCACACTACCTGTTTTGTATCTTAAACTTGATTTATACATATTATTTATTTCTGGTAACATGCCCGGTATATACTGTACTATCTGTTAAGCCATGTATAAATGTGATATGATTGGCAAATATCTCTTTACCATGAACTTGTCTTTCCAAAACATTGCTCATTTAGTTGTGTTGTGCAATGTGGATGGCCTCTTACTAATGTAAAATGATTTGTAGTGGAAACATTTATATTTTTATAATAAACATAATGAAAATATTTTTACAGATTGGAATACAGAAGTGGTCTTTGAAGCCTTTTTTAAAAGCATAAAATATGTGTTTATTTAAACAAAAATTGATGAAATGTAAATAAGCCACAAAAATGTGTTATTTTCTTGTTTCTTCATTAGTGAGGACTCATGTCATGTAATCTATTATTTTGGTTCCAATATTATTATCAATAAAATAGAAAAATGGTAATTATAACCTTCATAGTTAATGAACATCACTTTATTAGGCAGTTTTCTTTTGATTATGTGTCACTGAAACCAAGTAAGTCAGCATCACAGAAGCAGTTAGGCCATGTGAGCATCTCCCAGACTGAGATATGCAGCATCAGTGGAGCCAGAAGTTCTGCATCACCAAGGCTAATCCTCTCCTCTGTCTTCTTCTTTTCACCCTGTTTTTCTCTTAGCTCAGCTAATTTGCAGGACCTATCTTTTCATGGGGTGAAAAATATTGCTCTAATTAATGTAATTTTATATTGGAATTCCTGGGAAATATTTAGTTTAATTGTTCCTAGAGAAACTGTAAGGTATTTTCTTCAGTTGCAACCTACATCTGAATCACTTTGCAGGTAGGAGAATAACTGAATCAGATTGAAAAGTTCTGTGCTTGTCCTTAGGGACAGTGGAAAGGATTATGTGATGTGATGCTCTGTGCGCTTTAGGGGTATCAGAGGTTCACGTCCGAAAGAAACAACATTGTGTATGAGAAAAAAGGCAATGACTTCTTTAGGAGTCAATGCAACAAAAATGAATAATAAGCAGCTACAACTACAAATCACATTCTAAAACATATCTGCTGTATTATATAAAGAAAATAGACTTCTGACTCAATGTAACAGAACAGAGGATGCAGAAACACTCCAGCTATTTTATGTGTGATAAAGGAGCCAAACACCTTTTCTGGATGAAAGACAGCCTCTTTGACAAATGGTGCTAGAAAAACTGACTCACCATATGATGAAGATTGAACCTGAACCAATATCATGCACTAAACTAAAATAAATAGATCAAAAATCAAAATATTAGAAACACTTTGTCTGCTGGAACATATAAACTCTTGAAAAACTGGGTATAGGCAAAGAATTTGTAAACAAAACCTTGGTTGCCCAGCAAATGTTACAAAGAGGCAACAAATGGGGTTATAGCAAATTAAAAAGCTTCTGTACAGTGAAGGAAAGCACCTACAGAATGGGAAAACATCTTTCCTTCTCAAACACAGGACTAATATCTAAAATATATAAAAAGACTCAAAAAATTAGACCCACAAGCTTAGAGACCCAATTCAAAAATGATGACCTGGAGAGAAGAAACACTTCTCAGATGAACTGGCCCATAAATACAAGCAAAAACATTCAGCATTGCTGACCATTCAAGCAATCCAAATAGAAACAGAATTGAAATTCTGTCTCATTCCAGAAAAAAGTGGCTATCATTAAGAGATCAACCAATAACAAATGCTGCCTAGGTTGTGGGGGAAAAGAAATCCTTCTCCATTGTTGATGGTAGTGTGAACTGGTATAACCAGACAGAAAGCAGTACAGAGATTCCTCAGCAAGCTAAAATGAGAGGTTCCAATTGACACAGCTATTCCCCTCTTCAATTTCTTGCCAAAAGAGTTAAAGACAGTATACACACGATACATATATACCCATGTTTATAGTAGCACAGGTCATAGTAGCTAAATCTTGGAGGCAGCCTCTATGCCCATCAACAGATTAATGAGCAAAGAACTGTGGTGTTTATATGCAATGGTATTTATATGCAATTTATATGCAACTACAAACTGCCACAAATAAAGATAAACTTAAGGCACTTTTAGGTAAATGGATGCATCATGAGGCTATAATCCCCAAGTGAAATAAATCAGGCACAAAAATTTAAACATCACATTACTTTTTGTGTGTAAAAATTCCAAAAGTAAATAAGAAGGAAAATGGGGGAAAGATATTCAGAAGTAGGAAGAGCATGTTCATATGAGAAGGAGAATATGAGGTGGAGGAAGGAAAGGAGAGGAAAAGGGATTTAAAGAAAAAAACTGGAAGAAAATATGCAAATTGCTTTTGCGACTGTGGAGGGGAGGAAGGGTTGGTGGCAGGGAAGGAGAAGGGAAAATAAAGAACGGAAATGTGTTATGTGCATAAACATATGCCTCACGATGAACGGGATCGTCATGTGCTGCAAACATACACTCAGAAAAAACTGGAAAAGTAAATATATCTTTTTTTTTTTTGGTTTTTCTCCGGTACCGGGAACCGAACTCACGACCTTGTGCTTGCTAGGCAGGCGCTTTTGCCGCTGAGCTAAACCCCCAGCCCCTAAAGTAAATATATCTTTTAAAAATAAAAAATCGGGGGCTGGGGGTTTAGCTCAGCGGCAAAGCCGCCTGCCTGGCAAGCGCAAAGTCGTGACTTCGGTTCCCGGTACCGGAGAAAAAACAAAAAAATAAAAAAATAAAATAAAAATAAAATATCTTTTGAAATCCACTTAACGAAAGTGATTTGCATGAGACTTGCTATCACCACTTATAAGTTATCCACTAAAACACTTATAATAATGCTATGACTAATTATTATCCAGTTGTAATATAAGAGGGACTCTACATTCGGGATCAGGGACTGGGGATTTAGCTCAGCGACAAAAGCGCTTGCTTAGCAAGTGCAAGGTCGTGAGTTCGGTTCCCGCTACCGGAGAAAAACCTAGGCTACGAAGTGAGCTCAAGGCCAGCCTGAACTGCATAGTGATACCCTGTCTCAAAAAGAAAAAAAAAAAAAAAAAAAACAGAATCAATCAAGTTCACCTAGTGCATAGCTCATTTTTATGGAGATGTTTCAAACTGAAATCTTCGGATTCTGGGTTCTTTCTTTCATACCATTGTTTTAATCGCTAATAGGCTCTAATGACAGTGACAGAAACAGTTTGCAGTTTGCAGTAATGGATGGAGGCAGACTATAGCTTGTATGTACCACGTGACTGTATAAACGTCTTTTGGTATTTTAGGCACAAAGATAGACACTTATTCTGTGGTGACCATAATAAGAATGTGAAGAATGGAAAGCATATAAAGATTCATAAAGAACAAGAATTAACAGAATTTACCAATTTTATCTGAGAACATTTGGAAAAGTAGAAATCAAAACATCTTTCTTAAGAATAAAATATAGTTCCCAAATGTTTGTAGAAAAAATACTGAATCATTAGTAGAAACAGAATAAGAAGTCAAATTTATATCAGGAGTTTGCTAAATTAATAGTGTTAGTTAAACTTGAATAAATTAGTAGGTATTGGAGCTGTGAATCTGAGGCTTTAGAAGAACAAATTTCAGTGGTAAAAATGTAAAGATGTCTTATGAAGATCTACATAGTTTTACTTGATGCGTATACCAATATATCTTGAACTACTATTTTTAGTTTAATTCTTGTTCCTGTTAGAGTTAAGTGCCCAAATACCATCAGGTTAAAATAGTTTAAAAAAAAAAAAAGCACAGAGTAATGCAAAGTAGGTGTTTGCCAGGCAGCCTATTGCAATGATTTGGGGCCCACACTTGAGATTGGATAAAGCCTTGAAATCTGTTGCTTCCAGCCAGGAAAAGGAGAGGTGCAGAGGGGATTTTACATGCTCTGCTTGCAAGTGGGACATAGCACTTCTCCCACTCCCCTGGCTACACCTTAACCATAGGGCTGTACTTCACTACAACAAAATATGAAGGAAATGCTCTGACGTGATATCTAAATATAAAACAAGAGTTTGGAGAATTCATATAGCAATCTCTGCCTCAGCTCACATTTATTTATGTATGTAATATGTAGGGACAGATAGTACTAAAAGACTTAGTTTTTTGTCCTTGTTTTGCTTCAAATTTTAAAGTTAACAGTTTTTAAAAAATATTTTTAGTATACATTTCCAGTACATAATGATTACATTCATCATGAGAAGTTGGCACATGTTTATAACATATATTAATTCCTTTCACATCCCTTCCCCTTCCTGTCCCTCCCTCTTTCCACCATACCTTCCTCCCCTTCCTATTTTTGCAAAAGATCTATCTTCCTGTTTCCTGTTATCTGTCTTTTATTTTGCCCTTTAATTTATTTATGCTTTGGGTTTCTCATATAAGAGAAACCATGTGATATTTAAGCTTCTGTGTCTGCTTTATTTCTTTTAACATTATGGTCTTACGGTATATCCTATAAATGACTCAAATTGATCCTTCTTTGTAGTGGAATGTACTCCATTGTGCAAAAGTCTGGTGGAGGAGCTATCTCTTGCTAACGCCACCCATATCTTCTTGTCTACCTATGAGCAAACAAAACCTTAACTCAATTCTCTCATCACAAGAATCAAATACTTTTACTAATGGTACCTGGGTCAGCTATGGGATTGCCTTGATCTGAGCTCCATTCCAGAGAATTATTCAAAGAACAGTTAGCTAACTGTGAGTTTTTGTGCACTCAGAATTCCTGGCACAGTTTCCCCAGGCCGTACTCTACCTTGGTTGGTCCCAGTGGATGATGCAGCAGAGTGGAAACACTAGAGTGAGTATTTCTTCTTGAATGGAATATTCTTTTCTCAACCCATCTTTGCCTCATCCTGTGATCACACCCTGGCTAAGGCTTTCTTAGATGTGCACTTCAGTCTGAGATCCTTCCTTCATTCCTTTATGGTGCTATAATAGAATACAACAGACTGGACAATTTAAGCAACAGATATTTAGTTTTCACAGTTGTAGAGTCTGGAAAGTTCAAGGTCAAGTGCCAGCAATTGGTCACACAACAGAAGTAAATCCTGTGTCCTCACATGGAGCCAGAAAGCATGGAAAAGGACAAGGGCCTAACGTACTTCTGCCTGGCCTTTCATTAAGGAAGGGCCCTTCTGACTTACTCACTTCCCAAATGGCCATATCTTCTGAGTTTTGATGCATGAATTTTGGGAGAAAGATCATACAACAGGTTCAGATCTGTATTTCAATTTGAATATTCCTTGCGCTTTTCTTATTCCA